TTCATTGCTCATATTCACTGCTTCTATCTTTATATGCAGATGTACTTCTCTTTCCCCACCCTCCCCTCCTCTTTCTAACACCTACATCTGCTACCTCCTTTTTAATCTTACAGGTGTAATGAACTGTTGACAGCCTCGCAGTTGCTCAATCTGGTGTGTGTGTGTGTGTGCACGCACACGCATACACACGCACACACGTAAATAACTGTAAAAAGGAGCCTTGAGAAAAAAAGCAAGAAAACAAGGTCCTGAGTTAAAGAAAAGAGAAAAATGGGAATAAAAAGCAGCAGAGGTGATTCGACCTGCTCAGCGTGAGAGGTTCCTGCTGCCTGGCAGTGGCACTTCATTTATTTTGGCAGTTGCATACATTCTGTTGTTCTGCTCGTAGCAGTAGCCTGCTTATCCCACCAGCCGCGTCTGCCCCTTTGGATAACTATACACATGACCTGGGAGCCAGACTGCCATACTACTGACCATGGTCACTGCTCATGGCAGTGTCCTCCCATTCCTGCTCACATAGGTCATTTCCCATATACTTTGTGACTTCTTTGTGATAGCTCAGCCAGTTGTTGGAGGATATTATCTTGATTCATACAGTATCTGTACTGTTTATGTCAGCATAAACTTTTTTTTCCTCCCTTAGTGCTGGGGTTTAAAGTTAGGGTCTTTTTGTGGTCTTGATGTACTTTTTTGTTCATAGCTGGTGCTTTACCATTTGAGTCATATGTCTACATCCAGCTTTTTGTTGGTTAACTGGATGAATAAGTCATTGTCCTGATAGCCATCCGCATTAGAACTCTTTGCTTTTATGCAACTGACTTTGGGATGGTAAGGAAGCGGAGACCTTTTCTGGCTCACCATTTCAGCCCGAGTATATAACTGTTTCTGGTTTGAATCATCAGTTTGCACAGTTACCCTTCACTATAATTGAGCTTTAGGCAGTGTGTGGTGAGCCCATGTTCTTAGGAAACAATCTTTTTTAGTGGGTGAATTTCTTCATTAATTCTATATTTCTTCATAAGCAATTGCTTCTTGCCATGTGCCATGTTGTATAAAAAGCAAAACCCAACAGGCAATACTCTGGTGTTTGGAGACTAGCAAGCACCATTCTATTTCATTCTCTTATCTCTGCCAGGAAAATTAATAGTGACAGATGAATTTCTATAATTCCATGGATTTGTGCTTTAGGAGCTACATCTCTTTAGGAGCTGAATCTTCAAAATGGGAACTGAGGAGTGCTCTTAAGATTCTCTGAGCTTCTTTTTCCTTTATTTAGGAACGAAATGCTTACTCACTGCTTCTTTCTCGAAGTGAAGGCAAACAGCAATTTCAGTTAAATATATGGGATAAAATGTGTGGGATGTGGGCTGATAGATTTTACATGATGATTGAATGCGGTTTTGAGCAAGTAATAAAGGTGTCATCTCTTCACTAATTCATTCCACAAGTATTTGCTGGATGCTTACCAAGTGATAAGTACTATACTGGGAGCTGGGAAGGAGTGTAGCACTCTTCCATGCATCAGGCTGTGGTCAGATTGCTGGCTTATGTGGCTGTAATAGAACCCAGGCCAGCTTGGCTCATCTCCTTGATAGGAACTTTTTATTTTTTCACTCCCTGTCTCTAGGAGACAGTGCTGGCTTCCCTTTTGTTTATAACTGTCAAGTGTGAGTCATCCCTTAGTTGTAAGTATTGCAGAATTGCAAATCACATTTCATTTTAATTTGTACTGTTGCCAGGTCTCAGCCTATGGCCCTTTGCCTGTCTCCTAACAGTCATGATAGAGCAGTGAGACCAGCTGTACAACTGAACTGACTGGGAAAGAGAGAAGACAGAGTGTGGTACTTACTTTTTGTCCCCCCCCCCCTCCCCTGCCCCAACCATTGTGGGGCTTGAACTCAGGGCCTGGGTGCTGTCCATTAGCTTTTTTGTTCAAGGCTAGCTCTCTACCACTTTGAGCCACAGCACCAGTTCTGGTTTTTGAGTGGTTAATTGGAGATAAGAGTCTCAGGGGAACTTTTCTTCCCCAGGCTGATTTAAACTGCAATATATCTCAGCCTCCCAAGTAGCTAGGATTATAGGTGTGAGCCACCAGCACCCGGCCAAACAAAATTCTGAGAATTTTCTAAATAATATTTAATTTAATTTTGAATATTTGGCTTTTTTTCCTGTACCAAGATTTGTTGATTTATAGCTTTAAAAATTATATAATTGTGTATATATATATATTGGAGAGCTTTGCAGTTAAAAAACTACCTAATATAGTTTTTATTTCTTGGGGTTTTTTTTTGGTCTTTATCTCATCACTAATACTGGTATTTATACAGTTGTATATTCCATTCTAAACCTTGAAATTTTTCTTAGATCCCAAGTTTTAAAAAATGCCTCCCTGAAGTGACTCATTCTCCAATAAATGTGACTCAGGAGGTCAAAGGAGTTGTTTTGAATAGCAAGATGAGCATCAGACTAGTTTTCCAACCAGAACACATGCAGTCCCTGCAGTTTGAGGCACCGATGAACCAGCAAATTCCTCTTGGCCTGGGCTTGGGTAAGGAGTAGGTGGATTTGTGCAGTGTTTGCTCAAATTACAAAGGGGCACATTAACTTTACCCAAGTTAAAAGTGGCCGGCCAAATGAATGTCATGTGACCTACCTGAAAATAAAGCCTAGCTCTTTGTTGCAAAGATGATGAGTGAGACATTTGTGCTTTGCTGAGGAGGGAAAAGATAAAGAACAAACAAAAAACCAGTAGACTCACAGACAAATGTCAGTGTTGATGAAAACTAGATACTAAATGTAATAGGTAATATTTCCTAGTTCTTGTTCAATTTTTCCCTTTTTATTTTTGAGACAAAATCTTGCTGTTTAGCCCAGGCTGGCCTGGGAATTGGCTGTGTAGCTCAGGCTGGCCTGGGAATTGGCTGTGTAGCTCAGGCTGGCTTTGGAGTCATCTTCCTACCTCTGCCTCCAGATAACAGGTGGGTAAGTGCCACCTCACCCATCTCCTCAGTTCTTTTAAAATTTTCCTAGGCTTTGCTGTCTCACTCAGCCTTTTGCTTACAACTGGCACTTTACCATGGAGCCACGCTTTCAGTTCTTCTTTTCTGCTGGTTAATTGGAGAGAGACTCTCCTGGACTTTTTTTTTTTTTTTTTTTTTTGCCTGAACAGGCTTCAAACCATGATCCTCAGATCTTACACCTGAGTAGCTAGGATTACAAGCGTGAGCCTAGTCACCCCTTTAGGTAAATTTCAAATACAAGGAGGGAACTGTGACTGGGGTAGAAATAATATATTGTTAAGTACCTTGACTCTTCTCAAGAAGGAAGTAGAAAATAAAAACAGAAACAATAGACTAAGAAAAAGACCTGTTTATTTCCAAACCAAAGATCATTCTGGAAACTGGGATTGATTATACACAACAGATTGTCATAAAAACAAGATTTTAAGGGGAGGATTGGGGGAGGGCAGGGGGAGGATGGGAAGGAATGGGAAGGGGAAACAAAGGAGGAGGCTACAATGCTTGATAAGAAATGAACTCATTATCTTGCCCATGTAATTGTAACCCCTCTGTACAGTATTTTCACAAAAACAAAAAACAGAAAACAAGAGCTTAAGCAAGATGGATGTTTTCCTTTCTTGTGAAAGAAATCTGCAGGCAGGCAGTTGAGTTGGTGTGGTGGCAGCTCAGTGGTTGACAGGGACCCAGGCAGGCCTCCTTTCTTGTTGCTTCATTGTCCTTAGCATTGGCTGCCTAGGTTTGCTGCATATTAAGGCTGATCTAATTGTTACATCTTCACTGTAGGCAGGAAGATGGGCAAGGCAAAAGATCATGCTTACTGCTAAAATCCCGACTCCCCAAGAGTTTTCTAGAAGATCTGCCCCAACTGTAGAGGAAGTTTCCTTCTCAAAAAAAAAAAAAAAATTGGCCATGTAAACACCAGTCTCTTGCATTCCAAATGATCACATTGAAGGTTTTAAACAAGACTTAGGTGGTGTGGTAAAGACTGTAGAGATACCTGTAGAAGTTTTGATGCACTTGGCAGTTTGATTCATAACTGATGGGTTCAGTAATACTAAGGACTTGTGTTAGGCCTTGGAGTTTTGTTAGTGAAAAGGATAAACATGTTTTCTGCTTTTAAAGGGCTTACAGGCTACACGTGGGGAACACGTGGGTTTTATTTTTATTTACTTATTTTTGTCAGTTGTGGGATTTGAACTCTGGGCCTGGGCACTGTCCCTCAGCTCTTCAGCTCAAGGTGAGTGCTCTACTACTTGAGCCACAGCGCCACTTCCTGTCTTCTGGTGGTTTTATTGGCGTTAAGAGTATTGCGAACTTTCCTGGGCGGGGGGGGGGGGGGGGGGGGGGGGGTGGCTTTAAACCATGATTCTCAGATCTCAGCCTCCTAGCTAGGATTACAGGTGTGAGCTCCCGGCGCCCGGCTACAAGTGGGTTTTAATTAAGTAAATTACAAATGTGTTGAACTTTGAAGTAAAGAGTGTCTGGGACTATGTAATAGGAAAGACTAAGGATATGAGATACGTGTTCATTGAGATCTAAAAGATGCTCCAGAGTTAACTAGGTAAGAAAGTAGTCATGAGGGTGTGAGAGGAAGGCAAGGAGAAAAATGTTCTGGGCAGTCTTACTTCCAGTCTGATAATTTCCATATCCTTTTCTTTTTCTTCTATTATTTGTCTAATACTTCATCAGAGGAAATGTGGGCATTTCTAAGCACCAAAGGAAGACAGAGACTAAATATAGTTTTCATCTGTAATGGCTACAGGACTGCCATCCTTCCTGGTTGTTTGTTCATTCTCTAGATGAGTGGCTGCCTGTCTAAAGTTGCACAAGGGAGTGTTGGTATCAAACAGATGATGGCACTGCACTGAAGCCCAGTTGCTCCCACGTACATGTGGATTTTGGTCTCAATGTGGGACTTTGGGAGGCAAGGGTTGGTTATGATCCTGTGGCGCTGATGTGACCTCCCCCTTCCTCTTCTAGGAAGTGGACATTGTGGTGGCACCATGCCAAGGCCTTCGGCCCGCAGTGGATGTTCTGGGGGATTTGGTGAATGATTTCTTGCCTGTGATAACCTATGCACTCCATAAAGATGAACTTTCTGAGAGAGATGAGCAAGAGCTTCAGGAAATCCGAAAGTATTTTTCCTTTCCCATATTTTTTTTCAAAGTGCCAAAGTTGGAGATAATAGAGTCCTCCACCAGGACAATGGAGAGTGAAAGATCACCACTGTATCACCAACTAATTGACCTGGGCTATCTGAGCAGCAGTCATTGGAACTGCGGGACCCCTGGCCAGGATATAAAAGCTCAGAGCATGTTGGTGGAGCAAAGTGAGAAGTTAAGACAGCTGAGTACATTTTCTCACCAGCTGCTACAAACTCGCCTGGTGGATGCAGCCAAGGCCTTAAACCTGGTGCACTGCCACTGCCTCGACATCTTTATTAACCAGGCCTTTGACATGCAGCGGGACCTGCAGATCACTCCTAAACGGCTAGAATACACTCGCAAAAAGGAGAACGAGTTGTATGAATCATTGATGAATATTGCCAACAGAAAGCAAGAGGAAATGAAAGACATGATTGTTGAGACACTCAACACCATGAAGGAGGAACTCCTGGATGATGCTGCCAACATGGAGTTTAAAGGTAAGTTCCAGAGAGGGTGAAACGTGGGCTTCAGAAGTCAGACTGCATATTTTCAAATCTATTACTATACTAACTAGCTGTGAGGGCTGGGCAGATGACTTAACTTTTGACTTGTAAGGTTCAGCAGGACTCCCTGCTAAGTTAGTTGTCTGAGGTGGCTTTTCTTGCTCTCAGACTTTCCTGGAAGTGTCTTCTCCTTTGCAGGGCCCAGCCCAGCTTTTGGGAAATTTATCCCACTCTCTCTCTTACTTCCCTTTTTGTCTGTGTACCTTGGCCCCATGGGAGCTGGAGAAGAGTGGCTTGGAAAGGTTTACTACATTGTGCTGTCAGCATTTCTCCTTGTTCTTGTTGTTTCACGCTCTCATTTTCTTTTTTTTTTAAATTATTAAAACTTTAAAAATTGTTATTATAAAGGTGAGGTACAGAGGGATCACAATTCATGTCAGGTAATGAGTGTATTTCCTTTTGGACAGTGTCACCTGACCTCATTTTCTCTTCAGGCTACTTCTTCTAAAAGCACAGAAGGATTTATTTTTATGCCTTCGGACAGTCTGATTCTTCACAAATGGTTATTAACAAAATTGGGCAAAAGCCCTTGGAGAGTTCTTTTGGTGTCTGAGGTTTAGATGCTGCTGACTGTACACTGACTACTTGTGTAAACCTCAGTACATGAACTTAATTCTACTACCTTTTAATTACAGTGATAGGGTTTGCTGCTTGCTCTTCAGATCCTCAGTCATAAGTACATACCAAATTGACTGGGTAGCTTTCTGAAAATACTGGTGCTCAGGACCTCTGATGATAACTCCAGACTTCATCAGGGTTTCTGACATGGGACCTCTGTGTTGTAGAATCTTCCTAGACAGATTCCATTTATTTCTATCAAAAAATGATAGAACTGAGGCTTAAAAGGACTAATTGGGCTAGTTAGTGTAGTTAGTGTTGCTCGGATAGTAGAGTACCTGCATAACAATTATGAGGCCTTGGGTTTAAACCCCAGAGCTGTTAAAAATAAAAAAAAGTTAAGTAATCTGCCCAGCCCTCACAGCTGGTTAGTAGAGTAATAGATGTGAATCTATGCAGTCTGACTTCTGAACCTGTACTGTGCGTGTGCGTGTGCTGGTACTAAGGCTTGAACTCAGGGCCTAGCTTTTATCCTTTAGCTTTTTTGCTCCAGGCTGGCATTACACCATTTGAGTCATACCTCCACTTCTGGCTTTTTGGTGGTTAATTGAATATAAGAGTCTGATGGACTTTCTTGCCTGGACTAGCTTCAGACCTTGATCCTCAGATCTCATTCTCTTAAGTAGTTAGGATTATAAGCATGAGCCACCAGTGTTCGACTCTCACTCTGTCCTTTTAATTCCTGTGTGTTACTGCTTTTTAATCTTCCTAGTTACTGATGTCACCTTCCTGATGCCTAGCTTCAAAGCCTCAGCATATCCTTACCTCATCTTCTATCCCATATCCCCATCTCTAACCAGTTGCCGAGTATGGATGCGCGTTCCTTCATATCTTATATTAACTTGTGCTGTTGTTATAAAGGTGATGTATAGATAGAGGGGTTACAGTTACATTGGTTAAGTGTACTTTTTTTTTTTTGGACAATGTCACCTCTTCCCTAGCTTACGCGAACTTTTTCTGTTCTGTCTTTAGCCTAACTGAACTAGTGTTAACTAATGATTCTTTCTGATGTCCTTCTCTACTTAATCTTTATTGGTTCTTTGTTTGTACAGACTAGGTTTAAAGTTCTCAGTCTAGTAGTAAACATCTTCCAAAACCAAACCCTGTGCCAATCTAATTTCCCACTACCGGCTTTCCTATAATTTTTGGGTGTTGGTGGTCACAACTGCTTACTGTCCTCCCTTCCCCTTTTTTCTTTCTTCATGCCCTGCCTTTAGCCTGAAATGTCTTTTTTTTTTCTCCCTGTGAATTTCTAAATCCTTCCTACCCTACAGGCTTTTCCAAATGCCATTTTCACAAAGTTCTTTTTAGTTTTCTTTCCTACAAACAGTAGCCAACTGAGCCTCCACAGCGTTTAATCTGTAACTTTCATCGATAATTTAATTTCACGTATAACTTTCACTTTACTGCAATACGTTACTTTCTTTTTCTGGTCGGTTGTGGGACTTGAACTCTGGGCCTGGGTGTTGTCCCTCAGATCTTCAGCTGAAAGTCTAGTGCTCTCCTATTAAGCCACAGTGCCACTTCCACTTTTCTGGTTGTTAATTGGAGATAAAAGTTTCACAGACTTTTCCTGCCTGGGCTGGCTTTGAACTTTGATCCTCAGATCTTAGCCTCCTGAGTAGCAGGATTAAGGCGTAAGCTACTGAGGCTTGAACTCAGGGCCTGGGCACTGTTCCTGAGCTGCTTTTCTCAAGGCAAGCACTCTACCACTTGAGCCACAGGCCACTTCTGGCTTTTTCTGTGTACTGAGGTACTTTTTATTCTTTTTTGTCGGCTGTGGGGCTTGAACTCTGGGCCTGGGCGCTGTCCTTCAGCTCTTCAGCTCAAGGCGAGCGCTCTACCACTTTGAGCTACAGCGCCACTTCCGGTTTTCTGGTGGTTTATTGGAGATAGGAGTCTCATGGTCTCTCCTGCCCTGGCTGGCTTTGAACCTCAATCCTCAGATCTCAGCCTCCTGAGTAGCTAGGATTACAGGCGTGAGCCACCAGTGCCCGGCTTACTTTTTATGTGGTACTAAGGAATCGAACTAGAGCTTCATGCATGCTAGGCAAGCACTCTACCACTAGGCAAGCACTCTACCACTAAGCCACATTCCCAGCCCTATTTGTGTACTTTTAATTACTTTCCAAAAATCTGGGAATGAAGGAAAATAGAATCTGGAGATCACTCATTATCATATTCCTTGCAACAAATTTTGGTGTTTTGTTTTTTTTTTTTTTTTTGGTTTGTTTGTTTTGGGGTGCTGGGAATTGGACCCAAGGCTTCATGCATGCTGGACAAGTGCTCCATACTGAGCTACATGCCCAGCTCCAGTACAATCTCTTAAATATCTTTGGAGACTGTATGAATTTGTGAATAAAGGCATCTAACTATGACATGCTTATAAATACAAAGGAAAGTAGTTGACTTTAGTGAAGATAGGTGCTTGAGTTCTTATCTTTGTGAAGAGGAACAAAGATAAGTCTTTGGCAAGTTCCCAGTGCGGGGAGGAGTGGCTGAGAATTGTTAACCCACAGTGGGAATTCTAGAAAGTCCTCTCCCATATTTAATTAAGGGTACTGGTGCATCAAAGTGCACATGATGGAAACAAGTCAGGGCAGCCAGTGAAATACTTGATTGCCCATTCTATGGCAGGCATACCATGTTAGGTACCTAGGACAGAATGGTTAGCTAAACAGTTGATCAAATGTCCGATTTGTGGATATACTTACTAAGAGCTCTGTATTAGATACAACTAAGTGTTTGGTTCTCGCCTTGTTCTAAATCTTTTCTAGGCAATTACAGGATAGACTTAAGAGCGTTCGTTACCTCTCATATATCCTGAGGAGTCAGATGCTGTGACTGTTACTTATCTTTAAATAAAGTAATGTATGCAGCTGGGCACCAGAGACTCATGTCTGTAATACTAGCGATTTAGAAGGCTGAGATCTTTCCTGTCAGCCTAGGAATGAAAGTCTATGAGGCTCTTATTTCCAATTAATCGCCAAAAAGCTGAAAGTAGAGCTGTAGCTCAAGTAGAGTTCTAGCCTTGAGGAAAAAAAAACAAAACAAAATTCAGGGACAGTAGCCAGGTCATGAGTTCAAGCACCAGAACTGGTGCACGTCTGCACACACACACACACACACACACACACACACACACACACACACGCACACACACACACACACACACACACACACACACACACACACACACACACGTGAGTTCTAGCCTTGAGCAAAAACAAAGCTCAGGGACAGTAGCCAGGTCCTGAGTTGGAGCTAGAACTGGTGTGCACGTGTGTGTGTGTGTGTGTGTGTGTGTGTGTGTGTGTGTGTATACATACACAGACACATGTAATGCATGCGTTCTGGGTAACATAATATGCATAGTTTTGAAACTATTAATTATTTAAAAGATAAAAAGAAGCACACATGGTACTTAATTCAAAGATGTCAAGTACACCATCCCCAGCCCATCAAGCTCCCATTCCCCATTTCTTTGCACCTTGCTTCTTCACTTTTCCTATTTGTGTCTTAGCTTTTCATAAAGGTTCCTGCAAGTCTGTCTTTATGGACACAATGTATTTATTCTACTGATGACAGTTAGGCTGCTTCCTTTCCCTCCCTACTACAGACTATACTGTATTGTATAAATCTACTTATTTGTGAGAATATATTTCTAGAAAACATTTCTGAAAGTAGAACAGTTAGGTGAAAGAATGTTGGTCAGTTTAAATTTTGGGTAGATTTTAAATTTTCTCTGGAGAGCCAGTACCAAATTAAGTTTCTACTAATAGACTTCTTTTTTATAGTATATTTATATTTTTTGTTGAGATTAAGTGACATATATTTCACAGTATTGTAAGATAGTGATACTTAGCTAGTCACGTTTTAACTGTCACAGGGTGCTTTGTCATTATCATATAAAGCTTATGAATTCTACAAACTTTGACACTACAACTACTTTTTCCAAATCGGGTAATATGTACATTTCTTTCCTTTTCCTTTTCCTTTTGCTGTTCCCTCTTTCTCTCTCATCCCCTCCCTCCCTCCCATCGCTGCCCTTGAGTTGCTTAGTTCACTTTCATCAATGTCCAGGGCAACTGATGGGCCCCTCGGTGGTATTTTTTCACCTGTTTCTCTCTGATTCTGTGCCATCCTCCTAGCTTCCCTCAGATGTGCACATTTATATAATATATGTGAGGTCAAGCACACGGAGTCATCTGTAGTGGATCCATTCATCTGTAGTGGGGTGTCTGGGTTGTTTTCCCATCTTGGCTACTCTGAACAGTGCAACAATGAACATGGGAGGTGCTTGTGCACTATAGACTTCTAAACACCAGTAGAAGTTTCCTACTTTCCTAGAAGCAGATCGTGTGTGTGTGTGTGTGTGTGTGTGTGTGTGTGTGTGTGTGTGTGTGTGTGTGTGTTTTCTGTGTGTATGCTGATACTGGGACTTAAGCTTAGGACCTCACATTCCCACTTCTGGCTCTTTGTTGGACAATTGAAGATAAGACTCACAGAGTTTTCTTCCTGGGCCAGCTCCAAACCTCAATTCTCTGATTTCATTTTCTTGTGTAGCTAGGATTATAAGCATGAGCCACTGGAGCCTGGTTGGAGCAGATCTTTTTTTTAACTTAAGTTCTTCTGTTCTCTGGCTTACTAAACAGATTTTTTTAATTCTAAGAGGTAATTATGTAATAGAGACAATTAACCATTTAAATTTATTTAATAATAATTGATTAGAATTGATTTCCTAACTCTTGGAATCTTCTCATTAGTATGCTAGGCAATGTGAAGTTTTACATAAGTCCTAGACTTTGACATCTATGAGCTTTGTTACTTCCTAACTATACCTTCTGTTTCCCAGTGCCCACGTTGTCTTCTCTCTATAGCTATCGTTGTGAGAGTTTATTGGCTGTGACTTGGGATATGCCCTTATTTAGTGTGTTTGCCCTTTTTAGATATCATTATACCCGAGAATGGAGAACCAGTGGGTACCCGAGAGATCAAATGCTGTATCCGACAAATCCAGGAACTAATCATCTCCCGGCTTAATCAGGCAGTGGCTAACAAGCTGATAAGCTCAGTGGATTACTTACGAGAAAGCTTCGTGGGGACACTAGAACGGTGTCTGCAGAGCCTGGAGAAATCACAGGATGTCTCAGTTCACATCACCAGTAATTATCTCAAACAGGTATATAGGGAATGGTTGTTAAGATGCTGTGTTATGGATAACACATGGAACAATTCACACAGAAGCCAAACTTCAGATTAGCAAGAGTCTCCCTTTCAACTTTTGGCCAGTTCAGTTTGAATTTTAATTCATTTTTCTATCACATGACCACTGTCTGTGGGAGGTGTTAGTAAACTGTAAAATTGCAGTTGATGAACATGGAGAGATAAAAGGGCTTACATAGTCATATACTAAGTAATTAACTTGAGTTGATGCTGTGTATAAATTTAGAAACCCTGAGACTGGACTGTGCTCTTGAAGTAAATATCATGTCTCATGTTACTCCTTGGGGGCATAGTTTTAGATACTTAGGGCACTTTTTTTGTGTGTGTATGTATTCTCTTTCAGATCTTAAATGCTGCCTATCATGTTGAAGTCACTTTTCACTCAGGGTCTTCAGTTACAAGGATGCTGTGGGAACATATCAAGCAGGTAAGGGTTGCTTAGAGAAAAAGATTTCAGTCCCTAGTTGGATCACAGGAAACCTAGTTACTCCAATAGAGAAATGATATCTAAGATCTGCTGTTAAAGTAGAGTGGCCATATGTTTTGGTTTACCTGCTTTGAGAGGATTCTTGCTTATGCCTACTTTCAAATAATTATCAACAGTGCTTCCTTTAGGTCTTGAAAATTGTGAGTTTAAATGATACTTCACAGAGACACATGGTGCCACCTCATTAGCTTCTTCCTATTTCTTTTATCTAGTCTTGTATTTATTAGGCATCTCAAAACTAGGCATTACTGTTGCTAGAGGCCAAGAATGCAGTTCCTGTTGTAGAATTGGATCTGGTTGTTACAGAGTTATTTACTGCTTATGAAAGAGATCTCACAGGTACTCCCTGACTCTGAATGTAATGCATTGAGGGTTTGTGGGCATGTAGTCTAGGCCTAGTGTCTTTTGATGCTTCCTGGCTGAGCCCTGATTTTGAGGGATGTAGAATTGGAGAGGATCCTGGAGTTTATATGGCTCCTATCTTAAAGAGTTTACTCTTCAGTCAGTGGATAACCTAGAAAATGGAAGATGTTGTTGGAGCCTTCTGGTAGTTTCTTTCTTCATGCTGCAATGACCTCACTGTCTTTATCTTTGCAGATTATCCAGCGTATCACATGGGTGAGCCCACCTGCCATCACTCTGGAATGGAAGAGGAAGGTGGCCCAGGAAGCCATAGAAAGCCTCAGTGCCTCCAAGTTGGCCAAGAGCATTTGCAGCCAGTTCCGGACTCGGCTCAATAGCTCTCATGAGGCTTTTGCAGCCTCCCTGCGGCAGGTTGGTATGTAGGAAAGAGGCACAGCTGGAATAAGCAAGGAACGGCTTCAAAATCTTCAAAATCAGAATCTTCCAGTCAGGAAGATTTTGCTCTCTACCCTCTGTATAATTGAAGAATCATCAGTGTCTTTTCCTTTTAGTCTGTTTGTTATAGGATAGTATTATGGTAAAGAAAGTTTCAGCAATAAGTTTTTCATGTGGATATTTTTCTAACTCTAGGGAGAATGGAAGGAGCTCAGTTAATTTGTCCCCATTTCACGGAGAGAGAAAAGGATATAGAGGAGTAGGAACTTTATGTAAGTTAGCATGGTGTTTTAGGAATGAGTGGTGGAAAGGGATAGCATTTCAGCTTTCGTACTAACGTATGTTTATGAGACATCTGCTTGTCTGTTGAGTGTGTGTGCCCTCTGAGTGTATGTGTGTGTGTAGAGTATGCATCCAAGAGGTAAATCACTGTCCTGACAGTTCACCATTTGCTAGTCACTTCATTCAACATGTCATGTGCCTGTTACTTATTTCTCCTAATTGTCCATATGAGGTAGATAGTATTATTCCTACATGACAGGTGATGGGGACTTGGTAAGTCAGAGTTTTCTCTGTCCCTCCCAGCTGGAAGCTGGCCATTCAGGCCGGCTGGAGAAAACTGAAGATCTGTGGCTGAAGGTTCGGAAAGATCATGCCCCACGCCTAGCCCGCCTTTCCCTTGAGAGCCGTTCTTTACAGGATGTCTTGCTGCATCGTGAGTCCTTGTTTTTTCCTTCTAAGTAATTTAGAGAGTTCAGGATCTCTGACATTCTTATGCCCAGCCTCTGAGAATGAATTCCAGAGTCTCAGGTTGCTGCCTTGAAAAATTCTATTGAGTAGTTCCTAATGTGTTTTTGGATTCTGAAAGTCTATTTCGTCTTGCTATTCATATAGCTTAAATAATGTGACCCAAGCTTATGTTAGCTAAACCAGTTCAGATACTTTCTAATGGTTTAGAATGTCAGATTTTCTCCCCCTGTACTTAGGTAGGTCTACATCTAAGAATCTTAAAGAAATTGCCAGGTAAGTTGCCATCCCTCCTGTCTTATTGTTGCTGCCTCTGTATCTTACAGGTAAACCTAAATTAGGACAGGAACTAGGCCGGGGGCAGTATGGAGTTGTATACCTGTGTGACAACTGGGGGGGACACTTCCCTTGTGCCCTCAAGTCAGTTGTCCCTCCAGATGAGAAGCACTGGAACGATCTGGCTCTGGAGTTTCACTACATGAGGTAGGTTCTGATCTACAGAAAAGGGAAAAGACTGGAATAGTTTGTATCAAGAGCTCCTGCCTGCCTTTTGTCTCCATACCTAGGTTTTACTTTTTCTTTTTCTTTTTGTTTATGTGGAATGCTAGTGCATGCTAGGTGAGCACTCTGCCATTAAGCCACATTCCTAGCCCCCCATACTTAGGTTTTAAATTCTATAGACTAGTGGGCCTTTGGTATCTTAGCTTGCTCCTTTCCCACCATTGTAACTTCTCAGACTCCTCATTCCATTTGTATTTCACTCTCTTACTTAGAGGCTGTTAATGTGTAGATTTCATGATTCATTGCCCTTGGTGGAGAGGCTTTGCTCTGCTGTCTGCACTGAGATCCATTCCCTCTGGATGCAGACTAAGCATGCCTTGAGGTTTTTTTCTTCCTCTGTTCTGACATCTTAAGCAGAGTTAGAGTCCAAGTGTTGTGGCCCAGACCTCTCTCCTTTCCACAGATCTCTGCCAAAGCATGAGCGATTGGTGGATCTCCATGGCTCAGTCATTGACTACAACTATGGTGGTGGCTCCAGCATTGCTGTGCTGCTCATTATGGAGCGGCTACACCGGGACCTCTACACAGGGCTGAAGGTGAGGCGAGGCAAAGAGAGGGCAGGATTCAGCTGGAAGCCAGATCTACCACTTCTGCTCCTCCCTCCTTTCCCTCTTTCCTTTCCTTCCTTCTGTGTCTGTCTCTCCTCTCTTCATGATCTTTCATTCTTTCCTGTTTATTCAGAATTTCCTACTTTCATAAAGGGGTAATCAGGCAGTTATTTCCAGAAAAACCTTAAGCAACTCTCAGAACCTTTTTTTTGGTCGGTTGTGGGTACTGAACTGAGTGCCTGGACATTGTCCCTGACCTCTTTTGCTCAAGGCTAGTAGTGCTCTACCACTTTGAGCCACAGCATCACTTCCAATTTTCTGGTGGTTAATGAAGATAAGAGTCTCACAGACTTTCCTGCCTGTGCTGGCTTTGAACCACGATTCTCAGATATCAGTCTCCTGAGTAGCAAGGATTACAGATGTGAGCCATCACTACTGGCCTTTTTTTTTTTTTTTTTTTTGTCAGTCCTGGGGCTTGAACTCAGGGCCTGGGCATGGTCCCTGAGCTGCTTTTTTGCTCAAGGCTAGTGCTCTACCACTTGAGCCATAGCACCACTTCAGGCTTTCTCTGTTGATGTGGTACTGAGGAATCAAAGCCAGGGATTCATGTATGAATGGCAAATACTCTACCACTAAGCCACATTCCCAGCCCCTTCTTTTCTTTTCTACTTTTCTTTTCTTTTCCTTTCATAATACCGTCATTAGCCATTTTCTGGTAAACAAATCTAGACTTCTTAGATGTGAACAGTTTCCTTGTTGCTTTCATTTTTTCTTTTCCTTTTTTGCCTTTTTTTTTGATGATGAGTCTGGGCCTGGGCGCTGTCCCTCAGCTCTTCAGCTCAAGGCTAGTGCTCTACCACTTGAGCCACAGCGCCACTTCTGGCTTTTTTCTTTTTGTTTATGTGGTGCTGAGGAATCGAACCCAGGGCCTCAGGCATGCAAGGCAAGCGCTCTGCCACTGAGCTACCTTCCCAGCCCCCAGGCCAGTTTTTGTTTAGTCAGTAAATATGTACTAGGGACTAATGTATACAAGGTCCTATGTAAAGTACACATGGTGACTCACACCTATAATTCCAACTTCTTGGGAAGTGGAAATTGAGAGTATCAGGTAGCAATAAGATCTCAATTCAACAAATAGCACATGCCTGTTAGACCAACTACATGGGACATTAAATTTTTTTTTTTATTGTAAAGGTGATGTACAGAGGGGTTACAGTTACATGAGTAAGGAAGTGAGTATAATTCTTGTCAAACAGTGTTACACCCTCCCTTGTTTTCTCCTGCTTTCCCTCCCCCCTACATGGGACCTTTTAAATAGGAAGGTTTAGTCTAGGCCAGCCCAGACACAGGGTGGGACTGCATCTAAAAAAATAAAAAAGGATGGAAGTATGGGTCAAGTAGTAGAACACCTGCCTACTAGGAGAAGTACGACAAAAAAAAAAAAAAAAAAAGGCCCTGTATTAAGCACTATAAGGGTATATTAAAAAGTCTAAGTTCAGGCAGGTACCAGTGGCTCACACTTGTAATCCTAACTACTCAGGAGGCTGAAATCTGAAGATTGCAGTTTAAAGCCAGCCCGGGTAAGAAAGTCCATGAGACTCTTACCTCCAATAAGCGACTCACAAAAAAAGCTGCAAGTGACACTGTGGCTCAAGTAGTAGAACGCTAGCCTTGAGCCAGAGAAGCTCAGGGACAGCGCCCAGGCCCAGCAAAAAAAAAAAATCTGCCTTCTAGGAGCTTTTTGTTGTTGTTGTTTTGTAGTTCTAGGGATTAAACTCAGTGCCTTGTGCTTGTTAGGCAAGCACTTTGCCCTTGAGCTACACTGGCAGCCCAATTTCCAGAAACTTTAAGAAAGTTGTAGTTGGTGAATATTTCATGAAGATGTGGAGTTTGAGTTTGACCCATCTAGCTGGATGGGTAGCATGTGTGTAGTTTGAAAGAAGCAGCCACACCAGGGGAGAGGAAATGCCAGAACATCTGAAGGTCAGTTGGAAGCAGCTATTTCATTTTGGGAATGGAGGAGGTAACCTGCAAAGAGATACTGGAAAAAATTATACAGGAGTCAAAATGTTAAGAATTTCCATAGAATTCAGGTTTGTTGTAAACAAGAGGCTGCACAATGTACACATTTTTCTGACACAAGTCCCAGGAGGGTTTAAAGCAGAGATCACTGATACGGGGCTAGGGATATAGATGAGTGGTAGAGCGCTTGTTTAGCATGCACCAAGCCCTGGGTTCATTCACCAGCACTACCAAAAAACAAAACAAAACAAAAATCACATATATGAACTTGTTATATAATCTGATTTTAAAAAAATCATATGCTGGCATATGCTGCTGAGGAACTTTAAGTATCTGAGGGTGGCTGCTGAATTTCAACCCCTCATCTAAAACAGCTACCAAAAGCAAATGAAGTTTTTCATCTGTCCGTACATTAGGGCTGGGTAGGAGAGAAAAGCCAACCTGAGTATGTCAAAACAGGTTTCTTTTCATAGATTCCTCTTTTCTTTTTCTTTTCTTTTTTTTTTTTGGGTCCGGTTGTGGGGCCTGAACTCTGGGCCTGGGCACTATCCCTCAGCTCTTCAGCTCAAGGCTAGTGCTCTACCACTTGAGCCACAGCGCCACTTCCGGCTTTTTTCTTTTTGCTTATGTGGTGCTGAGGAATCGAACCCAGGGCCTTGAGCATGCAAGGCAAGCGCTCTACCACTTAGCCACCTTCCCAGCCCGATTCCTCTTTTCTAAAGGCTTCCAGAAGTAAGAAAACCTTAGACCTGCCTCGAGGACTCCTGAGGAATCAGTAAGATGAACTTTCCAAGGGTTTTTCTCTCTCCATCTCAGATGTGTTGAGCTCAGTAGTGCCTGATATATTTCCATAAATGGGATAGAATGCCCCATTTGGCTTTTGGATATGTAATATAGTGGCTTTGGTATTTGAACTCATAAAACCAAACCTGGGTAACCAGGCATGTGAAGCAGTTAATCTGTCTGAAGGATCTAGAAGCAGCTTTAAGGGTAGGTCTAGAGTTGGTACGATGGTAGAAATGAGCTCATACTTTTAGTTACTTGCTTATGCCTCTTCTGTTTACATCTGGGGGTCGTCCAGCAGGACCAGCCGCGCCCTACAAGGGCTTTATCTGGCTTTGTGATTTTTGGCTTCTTCTTTTACTCTGCGCTTTTTTTTTTTTTTTAGTACTGGGTTTTGATCTCAGGACCTTTTGTTTGTTTGTACTCATTAGGGAGGCAGTCTGCCACCTAAGCCACTTTTTGCTTTGATTATTTTTGAGATAGGGTCTGGGATCATAGGTGCATGCCACCATACCTAGCTCTAATTGGTTGAGCTGCAGTGTCATGCTTTTTTTTTTCCTGAGCTGGCCTCAAACCACAATCCTCCCATTTTCTCCGTACCCCCTCCCTCCTAGGTTGCTAGGATTAGGCTTTTTCTTAACTGCTCCCCCTTATTTGTTTTGTCCTCTGTGTCTTAATGCAGTTAGTTATTTAATACCTCACAGACTGAAATCTCATTTGGGTCAAGCTGGTTGAGCAGTTGCACTGTCATGACATGTCGGCTCTTTTGTCTTCTAAAGGCTGGGCTGACACTTGAGATGCGTTTGCAGATAGCTCTAGATGTGGTGGAAGGAGTCCGTTTCCTACACAGCCAGGGGCTTGTTCATCGTGATATCAAACTGAAAAATGTGCTGGTAAGTAAGACTGGTGTCCAAGAAACTCCTATGCTTCTTGGATTTAGCAAGCTTCTGTAGAGTGCATGCAAATATCAGACTGTCCTAGGAAACGTCCAGGAGGAAAGTGGTAGAGTTAACTGCTTCATAGGTGGACGGTATTTAGGTCTAGGAAGGAGTTTCAATAGAGACCTACTTACATTGTGGGGGTTTTCTCTCTACACTGTTGAAAAATGTTAACCTTACAGAAAAGGGAAGAATGTCACAATGAAGACCCATATACCCTTTATCAAGATTTATATTCTATTCTGTCATACTTTCTAACAGTCTTGTTGTCTTTATACACACACAAACGCACACTTTTTTCTGAACTACTTAAAAGTAAGTTACAGATCACATTTTGTAGCTAAATGTACCTTCTAATAAGAAAGGACAATCTTCTACATAATTAAAGTACCATTACTACACTCAAGAAATTTAACATTGAGGGCTGGGGAGGTGGCTCAGTGGTAGAGCACTTGCCTTGCATGCTCGAGGCCCTGGGTTCGATTCCTCAGCACCACATAAGCAAAAAGAAAAAAGCCGGAAGTGGCGCTGTGGCTCAAGTGGTAGAGCACTAGCCTTGAGCTGAAGAGCTGAGGGACAGCGCCCAGGCCCAGAGTTCAGGCCCCACGACCGGACCCAAAAAAAAAAAAGAAATTTAACATTGATATACTATTACTCAATATATGATTTATATTACACGGTCCACTTTTCCTAGTGAATCCAATTACTCCAAATATGATGTTGGTTTGATCCAGGACCCAGTCCAGTGTTAACACTGTGCATTTTGTTGTCATGTTCCCTTTGTCTCTTTAATCTTATAGAATAGTTTTTCTGCTTTTTGTTGTTATGACGTTGATGTTTTTGAGGAGTACAGGTCTTTGTGATTGCTGAGGGTTTGATGAGAGATGCTGAATGAGAGGTGAGGTGAGTATATGTACTTTACAAGGTGGAGCTTGTCAGAACTGTCACCCATCCTATAAAGAATCTTTTAGTCAGGCACTGTGAGCCAATTACTTCTGTAATCCTAGCTACTTAGAAGACTGTGATTTAGAGGATGGCAGTTTCATGCCAGCCTGGGCAGAAAACTTCATAAGATTTAATCTCCAAAATAACAAGCAGAAAACACACAAAACAAACAGATGTGGAGGCATGATTTCCAAGTAGTAGAATAACAGCTGAACAAGTCCTCTGTTCAAATCCTAGAACTACCTCCTCCCCCCAATCCTTTTTTTTTTTTTCTAAATAGCTTTAGAAAGCATTTATTTTAGCATATAACAAGATTATAGTATGCAAAATGGAGGGGGAGGGGAGTGAGCGAGAGAGATCGAGAGATTGATTTCCAGCTCCCCTTGTAGGAAATGGGAGATGAAGACTTAAAAAAGAATCCTTTGACATATTCCTCTTGAAAACTATATTAGAGTATAATTGTAATGTTTCTAGCAATACTTTAATGTTGTATAAAGATGACAGCAGTTTTCAGAAAGAGAAAAAAATCTCCCTAAAATTACAGGAAAAAACATAAGAGACTAATCAACCTCCAAATGAGATGGAGTTGTTCTATCAGGTATTTTTTTTTTTAATTGTGAAAATACCATACAGAGGGGTTACAATTACATGGGCAAGGTAATGAGTACATTTCTTATCAAGCATTGCTGCCTCCTCCTTTGTTTCCCCTTTCCATTCCTTCTCATCTCCCACTCCCCAGTCAGGTATTTTGTGTGTGTGTGTGTGTGTGTGTCTCTCTCTCTCTCTCTCTTTTTTTTTTTGGTTGGTCGTGGGGCTTGAACTCTGGGCTTGGGCGCTATCTCTGCGCTCTTCAGCTCAAGCCAGGTGCTCTACCACTTGAGCCACAGCGCCACTTCCGGTTTTCTAGTGGTTTATTGGAGATAAGAGTCTCACGGACTTTCCTGCCTGGGCTGGCTTTGAACCGCAATCCTCAGATCTCAGCCTTCTGAGTAGCTAGGATTATAGGCGTGAGCCACCGGCACCCAGCTCAATCAGGTATTTTTTATTTGTTGTTTTTGTTGTGCTGGGGATAGAACCAGGGCGCTGCCTGTTCTGGCTAAGCTCTCTTCTACTGACCTATAGCCCCAGTACTTTCTTGGATCTTTAGGAAAGGAAACTTGAGGAATTATAGAAAACTCCACACAGCTCACTAGAAGACCTCAGCTTTTTGCTCTTTAGTTACAAGAATCAGGAGCTGAAAGTTCTCCCTCAGTGTCCTTCTGAGAATTCTTATTCTTTCAAGACTGAATATTCTGGTTTGTGGTAGCACTATGCTAGGTGCCAGAGATATAAGGATGAAGACACAATCCCTGCAAACAAAGTGCTCAGAGAAGGGAAGGAGGACAGTAATAGGAATGAATTTGGAGACTGCAGGGTTGGAGATGGGATTTGTTAAGTACAACTGTAAGGTACCTGCTTTGAGCTTGGGTCTAGAGCTTAATGTTATACACAACCTTAGAGGCAAGGTGACTTCATTCTACTTTTTTTTGGCAGCTGGATAAGCAGAACCGGGCCAAGATCACTGATTTAGGATTCTGCAAACCAGAGGCCATGATGTCCGGCAGCATTGTGGGAACACCAATTCATATGGCCCCTGAACTTTTCACAGGTAAGGCTGCAGTACATGGAGGGGTTTGGGCAGGCCTCGGTGCTTTAACCTTGAGTGCTACCTCGCAGGTAAGTAGTACACACAAGCTCTGCCGGATGTCTGCTACAGGCAAGGAAGAAACCAGAACAGGAACTCTAAGGCAAGGAGGGGAGCAGTGAAGAGGGATAGGAGTGAGAGAGAAATGTTCAAATGAGAGTCACAAGTACCCTTACGCATGTGACTTTGGGTTGTCTGTGTCCTGAATGTCATAATGGGCAACAGTCATGATTGGTTGAATAACTCCTGTGATAGTTATGTATGTCTTTACTGAAGAACTTAGAGTTGATAGATTCACTGAAAGAGTAAAGTAGTTTGGTATAAGGCAACACTAAATGCTAAAGTAAGGGCTAAGTTTTTTGATGTTAGTATTTGGCAAAAAAATAAATGATGGTTTTGGATAGAACTTTAGTCCAGTCTAGAAAAGTGGTAGTTGGAAAAGGATTTCATATATATTAAGTATATATGCCCAATGTGGACATATTTCTGCATATTTTGTTTCATTTAATCCTCACAACAATCTTGTGATTGTTTTGATACATTTTTAAGTCAGTTTCATGAACAAAGAGACTAGGTTGGTGAAGTAACTCACAAACACTGGGGATAGAAGGTACTAGACCTGAGTATTGAATCTTGTCTTTCTGTCTTAGAGTCCAACCTTGTATATGGAGGAATACTGGAGACTGGAGAAAGGGAAATACTAAGGACTGTAACACAATCGAAACAAATAGTGGCAAACAAGATTGGAGTAAATATATTGAGCTTGAAAATCCTGCAGAGGACTTAGGCTTGCTTTTGAGCTTTTGATCAGGACTGCAAAGAAAATGTTTATGGAATATTAGTTTAGCAGCTGCAGAAGTTGGAGTGTGAATGAGAAGTCAGTGCAGGGAGCCCGGTTAGATGGTGGTTGTCTGCAAGACGAGGTTGCAATTAATGTTGAAACCAAACAATGCAACAGATTTGAGAGCAATTCAGAGGAGAAGAAGAAAGATTCTTTAATGTGACCAGTGAGCCATAAAGAACACAGAAGAGAGAAGACTGAAGTTTTGAGCCTGAGTGGATGAGGAATGGTTGCCAGAAAAACAGGAAGGTAATATAGGTCAGTCCTTAGTGTTGGGAGAGCTTCTAGTGGTAGCAATATATTTGAATATTTATTTCATTTCACTCTCCAGTCTTCCTCCCAGCTCTTCATCAAGTAATGAAGAAGGTTAGGAGTCAGAGAACTGTGATCTTGCCCATATCAGAACCAGACAGACTGGGCTGGGAAGATGGCTCAGTGGTAGAGTGCTTGCCTTGCATGCCTGAGGCCCTGGGTTCGATTCCTCAGTGCCACATAAGCAAAAAGAAAAAAGCCAGAGGTGGCACTGTGGCTCAAGTAGTAGAGCGCTAGCCTTGAGCTGAAGAGCTGAGGGACAGCGCCCAGGCCCAGAGTTCAGGCCCCACGACCGGACCCCCCCCCCAAAAAAAAAAAAAAAAAAAAACCAGACAGACAGTCATCATGTTTCTTTCCTAGGTTTACTTTTTCAAGTTTCTCTTCCCACTGCTCATACTCGGTTTTGGCTATTCCATTTTTAAATACCTCTGGTTATTTCTGCTGCTGTCAGAATAAACTTCCTGAAGTACATTATTTTCATACCCTGCATTAATACATAGATGACTGTCCACTGCTCACTAGATAGGAATCCTTCCCTCTGCCTTTAAAACTGGTTATTTTGAAACGGCATTTGATTGTGATGTAGTTTGGGCTGGCTTTAAACTCATGATTCTCCTGTCTCAGCCTCCCAAGTGCTGCTATTATAGGAGTGCACTACCATGCTACCATGCTCAGCTCAAAATCTTTATCTTACATTTCTAGTATACCTAATTACCTGTATTTCTCTAATATAATTCCCCCCGCCCCCCGCCCTTTTTTTGCCAGTCATGGGGCTTGAACTCAGGATTGGGTGTTCACTGTCCTTGGGCTTTTTCTGCTCAAGGCTAGTACTCTACCAGTGGAGCGACAGCTCTATTTCAGGTTTTTGGGGGGTTAACTGGAGATAAGAATCTCATGGACTTTCCTGCCCAGGCTGGCTTTGAACTGTGAGCCTTAGGTCTCAGCTTGCAGAGTAGCTAGGATTACAGATGTGAGGCACCTGCACCTGTCTCTAATACAAGTTTTCAGATTTATGTTCAGACCATCCCATTAACATGAAAGGCCTTACTTTTCCTTCTTTGTCAAGTTCAAATCTTGGCTTATTTAACCTCCCAGAACCATGGTTTTCTGGACTGTAACTACATATAAATGTGTCCTGTCTTCTGGCAAAATGGTATGAAGGATAGTAGATGTTTCAGGAAAGGCATAGAAAGACCTGCAATTTAAAAGTGCCAGCGATGCTGCTGCCTTCCCCTCCCTGCCTCACTGCCTTTCATCCTTTCTTACTAGGGAAGTATGATAATTCTGTGGATGTCTACGCTTTTGGGATTCTTTTCTGGTATATCTGCTCAGGCTCCGTGAAGCTCCCTGAGGCATTTGAGAGGTGTGCTAGCAAAGACCATCTCTGGAACAATGTGCGGAGAGGTAAGATCCACAAGCACCACCTTGTCCTACCTGCCCTGGTGAGAGCAAGTGGAGCCCAGACATTGTACAGGAGCCCTGTTCGCCTCTCTGGCCAGTCCAGAGCAGGATTCCATATATGTTTAGACCGCCACAGCATGTGGAAAGACAGTGCTTCTAGGAATGCTAGATTGAACTCTCAAAAATGCTTTTATTTAAAAAATAGCCAGTTCATTTGTTTCCTGTGCCAGTGTATTCCAGTTTTGTTGGCCACTACCCATTAGTTATAACCTACACTTGCAGTACAAGCCAGAGTTCCCTGCATTCCACACTGTCTGGAGCCCCAGCAGGCAGCGCCAGCCTCTAATGCTGGGCCCTTCTTGCCTTCTTTCCATGCTCCTCTCTCCAGGGGCCCGGCCTGAACGTCTGCCTGTGTTTGATGAGGAGTGCTGGCAGTTGATGGAAGCCTGTTGGGACGGCGATCCCTCTAAGAGGCCTCTCTTGGGCATTGTCCAGCCCATGCTCCGAGGCATCATGGACCGACTCTGCAAGTCCAGTTCTGAGCGACCAAACAGAGGATTAGATGATTCTACTTGAAAGCAGGGACTTTCCCCTTTCACTCTTCAATCCTTCCCTTCACCTTTTGGCTGTGGGGAGAACTTGATGTTTATTCACTATGGAAGCTCCCAAGGGAATTGGTGCTTGCTGGTGACCTCATGGGCAGAGATGGCTCCTGGACAGTGAAGAGTTGGATGACCAGCTGAGCATTCTGGGCAGTTTGCTGATGCCCACACTGTCCCTGTGGTATAGATGGTCTAAAATTTGTAAAAAGGAGACAAATGTTACTTTACCACCGTCTATAGATACTGTATTAGGTTGCTAAGACAGGAGTGGGAAACGCAGAGGCAGTAGGATTAAAATGTATTGCTTTCATGTTCTCAGCTCTAACTAGGCTTGGTTCTGCCCAGTGGTAAGGACCACTTAGAAAATTTGTGTGAACACAAGGACAACAAAAATAACTTGAGGTTGCCTGGTTCCTGTTATAAGTGACCAAGGATGTCACAAGGTAGGACAGACAAAGCTGTCTGCGGTGGCAGTGCAGTGTGTTTACATTTTAGGGCCACATGTCCTTGATACGGGGGTGGGGGGCTCACTGTTACATTTTGAAACCACAACAAAAAAAAAACAAGCATGTGCACATAGGGTGTGTGTGTGTGTGTGTGTGTGTGTGTGTCTTACTGACACACAGTCACAGCGATTATGGGAACTGCAGAGTGGACTCTCTCCTTGGGTCTTTCTCTGCCTGCTGCTCTCTTGATCTCAAGGAGGAAGAGCTGCATGTACTAAAGGTGGCTGAGGCCCTCCCCCTCCGCGCCCGCCCCCCTCCCCAGCAGTGTGAAACATGGCGAGACTGGGATGGTGGAGGCCCCGGTGGACCAGGGTCTGGGCACACACACCTCCCAGATGGGTTCCAACTTGTTTCTGCAACTTGAAAAAGTCAATTCTTTTGTGTTTGAATCTAACACACTAATGTTTTTAAAGCTTGACCAATGGTTAAAAAGCCAAGCTTTCTTCTGTTCCTTCTTTTTGCATTACTTTAATTTGTTACAAGAAAAAAGAACCAGAAAGAGGAGAATAGTGAGATTCTCATGAAGTGTACCTAAGGAAAGAAACTGATTTGTCAGAGCAGGGAGACAGATTAAACGTGGATACATCTCAGGGCTTGGCTTAAAGCCTCCCTCTACCAAACTAGTCCCATTAGATAGAGACAGAAGAAGGAGCAGCGGAGGGGAGTCACCTCCATCCATAATTCCAGTACAGACTGTGGTCTGGCCCTTGTGTCCACCTCCAAGGTATATGAAACAGTCAGGTGTGGTGGCTTCCTCCTATAATCTTAGTATTTCAGAAGCTGAGGCAGGAAGATCACAAGTTCAAGGCCAGCTTGCTAAATAGACTCTTTCAAAAAACAAAACCAAACAAAGTCTATGAAATAGGTCCCCAACTAGTTTTGACAGTAAGTGTTAAACTAGCTGCTATTTTCTAGAGTTGTTACTGAATGACCATCCTTAACATGTATAATATACATGGAATCTATAATCAATTTTTATATAACTTTTTTTTCCAGCAGTGCTGGGGTTTGAACCAAGATCCTCATGCATGCTGGTAAATGCTCTACCACTGAGCTACCCCCAAGCTTGATGTAACTTTTAGTTCAGTTTTAACTAGCCACTCTGGGCTCTGGTTAGGATGCACTTGAGCAGAAGCCCCCACGCACGTGTATTCCTTCAGAGCTCCATGTGATGCTGTGAACCTGCTTATGTACAGATGCCAGTGCCTTTGGGTTCACCAGCTCCAGCTCTGCTCTGGTATTATGTTCAGTATATCTCTTAGAACCTCAACAGCTATTCAGCTATACTTCAGGCTACTGTGTTCTCAGTGTAACCTGTTACCCTCCCAGGGACTGCAATGGACTTTCAGAAATCCAGGTGTGCAGTTAAGAAAGGAGAAATTAATAGTCTCTACTTAGTGAAAAAAAACATGTCTGTGCTGCATACGATTTCTAGAAAAGGGTCTGGGAATGTAGTTCAGTGGTAGAGTGCTTGCCTTGTATGCATGAAGCTTGGGGTTCAATTCTTCAATACCACATAAACAGAAAAAGCTGGAAGTGGCTCTGTGGCTCAAGTGGTAGAATGCTAGCCTTGAGCAAAAGAAGTTCAAGGACAGTGCCCAGGCCCTGAGTTCAAGTGCAAGGACTGGCAAAAAAAAAAAAAAAAGAATTTCTAGAAAAGCCCTTCATAGTCAGGGAACTGTAGACTGTTTCTTTTAACTCTTTTAATCAGGATTCTGTACTTCATTGTGGAGACCACATTCCTTACATTCTTTGGAAGTCTTAGCTCAGACACATACTTGGGAGGTTGGGTTTTTTTTTCTCCCCATCCAGTCTCTTTTCCATTTATCCCCATGGCTCATTTAGTCTGCTCTTAAATATGTTTCCTGGCAGACTCCCTACAACTTTTGCTGAGTGGGAGGGAGAGAGAGAGACTAATGGTAAATAAAGAGACGAGTGGTTGTTTTATAGAAGAAAAAGGTTAAAAAAGTATTCTTAGATAGGTGCAAAATATTCCTGAAAGTCTCCAGGCTAGCCAAAGTCCACTTGAGGACATTTGGCAGTATTATTTAAATACTCAGCAGGCTGAGTGCAGGATACGTGTGTATAATGTGTGTACTTGTGTTTTATAACATTGTTAGCTAATTCCTTGTTCCTTGGCATCCATATTATTAAAGTGATGGAATGCCATGAAATGTACTGTATTGTATATCACTTGGGAAGACACTAGATATTCAGAGAAGCATGGTGGCACTTGGGCAAAACAGGACTCCACAGAGCCAAAGTCCTGACTGACAGTTGTACCTCCCAGCTTTGGTTGTGTTGCTGTGTGGTTGGGTGAGCTTGCAGCTAAGGGAGGAAGGATAGCATGAAGAATGACGCTCGCTGTGTTCTGTCCTGCTAAAACTTTTAAGGAGAGCCTCGAATAGAGAGGCCTTCCTGCAGAACAATCAGAAGAAATGCCAGTGAAGCCCGGGGTCCTAGGTTGGCTTTGCCTATGTCTGGGGAGCTAGCAGCGACTGGTGGGGAGTGGGGAGGGAGAATCTCCCCCAGGCAGGCTCTGCTGCCCCTGGCCTCCACAGTGACCTCTTCACTGAGGAAGCTTTTCACTGCCCTGCTTGTTCCTAAACCAAAGAGAGTCACTTGGGGATGGAGGCTAGTCAGTAGCTGCTGCTACTGTTTAACACTAAAGCTCAAAACAGGGAATAGAGGACCTGGTAGGAAATGGTAGAACTTGGTCAGTAGCTTCGCTTGAGCTGCCAAAGAGGGCTGGGGGTGTAGTTCAGGGGTAGGGGAGTGTTTAGCATGCACATGGCCTTGGGTTCAGTCCCTAGCCCCACCCCAAAAAAAACAAAAGTCCATTGAGTTGGGAAATTATTTCCTGACAAAAGGGGCCCATGGTGGGGCTGCAGAGTGACAACTGCACTGAAAGACACTTTATTTATTTTATTGGCTTAGCACTGAGAAGTCCAGGGTGTTTGGTGACTACAATAGCACTTTGGGAAACTGAGGTACCCGTTAGCCTTGTTTGGGAGACTCCATCCATATCCATACTTAGCATCTCATTTGGCTAATGGGAGGGGGACTCCCAAGTCCACATTTTATCAAGTGGGCTTAGAGCTCTGGAAAGATTGATGGTTAGAAGACAGTTGCTTTCTTAGTTTTTAAAACTTGCTTTGGGGGTTTGCTGGATCAAATTACCCACTTTTTAAAAAAATAAAACAAGAATTTATTCTTCTAAACATGGTGAAGAGGGGTAGACCTCATGGGAATTAAAGTGGGTAAAGCTGTGTGCCAGTGCCTCATGCCTATAACCCTAGATACTTAGGAGGCTGAGCTCTGAGGATCGTGGTTCAAAGCCAGCCCGGGCAGGAAAGTCCATGGGACTCATCTCTCCAGTGTTAACCACCAAAAAAGCCAGAAGTGGAGCTGTGGCTCAAGTGGTAGAGTGCTACCCTTGAGCCAAAACTCAGGGACAGCACCTAGGCCCTGAGTTCAAGCCCAGGACGGCACATACTTAGAAAGTATGTAAGGAAGGAGTGACCAGGGGACACGTGTATCACAGACTTCCAGTAACACTATTGTTGAATAGTTTCCTGACTGCATCTGCTTTGTAACATCTAGTCCAACTGAGGCCATGGCAGAGACAGTATGAGGACATCTAACACAGGAAGCTAGCTTCCCAGAGGGCTGGCAAGAAATTGGTCTGCACGGCTGGTGGGCTTGTCCTTATGTAATGTTTTTTGTTTGTTCTAAAGGACTAATGGTTATTACAGTGTTAAATAAAAGTAACATACTAGTGTGTAGAATAAAAGTGCAATAACAAAAGAATTATTTTGGCACAGCCCTCTCTTCTCCCTCCTTTCCTGTTTCTGGCTCTTTCCATGACATTGTTACAGCAGGACCATGTTGATTGTGTGTATTTTAAAGATACACAACTGTGGGCTTAGTCTTTATTTTGTGTAACTTTGAAAGGTTTGGGTTTGGTTTTACAGAGTATTCTATGTAATCCTTAGGTTGCACAAATACCAGATGTGCTGTATAATAAAGGTCATATTAACATTTTAGTTTAACATCTGTTTGGCTTTGGCTTTCTTTCCCTGTTCTACCAGTGTTCACAGGTTGCTCCCTAATCTGTCACTGCCCACCATGTCTTTCAGTTTGCCTTTGGGGGAGTAATGACAGTTACTCTCCCAGCCAGGGCAGACTCCCGTCATGATCAGCCCACCTGGTTGCTCTTGGTAACAGGGTTCTTTTTATTAGCACTGCTAGAAGTGGGGCGAGAAAATGGTTGATGATAGGATGATGGAGAAGAGGGATGCCAGAAAGTTACTTTGCCAAACCTATCCTGGGGTGATACCTTTTCTCCAACATTCCTTTGGATGGAGAACTTGCAGCATCAGGAGCCTAGCTCCTCCCTCTTGTGCTGGGAAGAATCTGGGGCTGTAACCTGTAGGCCAAACACTGCATTTAGAATGTTTTGAGTTCTCTGTTCAGGCTGACTCCTCTTCAGTTAGCTCACTCAACAAGCCACCACCTGAAGAATAGCACTTTGTAGTCACCATGGAAAGTCAGTGATCAATATGCCTTTCCTCCCTTCCTTCTTCCCTCCTTAATGTGTACTATGCTAGCACTACCTCTGAGTATACTCTACTCATCCATCATCGATTTGCAAAGTTCTCCAGGCTCGGCTTGAACTTCTGGCTTTTGAACATTATTCAACTCAACTTCAGTAATTCTACTTTCAGCAGGATCCCAAGGACTCTTAACAAAACCAAAAAGCACATATCCTATATTAATGGATTTATTTCTCAGAAAACCTTATGGCCTTGGCACTTAATCCCCATTTCATAGGTGAGAAAGCAGAGGCACAGAGAAGCTAATCTCAAATGCTCCATTAGTGTCTAAATTTGAAATTAAAAAATAAAACCAAAAGCTGGGTGCCAGTGGCTCACCTGTATAATCCTACCTACTTTGGGAGGCCAAGAATAAGGATCATAGTTGGAAGCCAGACCTGGCAGGAGGGGCCACACTACCCCTTCACAACCCTATGGCTAGGCACATGCTTGTCATCCTAAGTGGTAGGCTGGGATTAGGAGGATCACAGTTCCAGGCCAACCCAAGCAGAAAAGTCCATGGGCCCCATCTTAAAGAAATTGGCACAGTGGTGTATACGTATGATCCCATTAACAACGTGGAGCCTGAAACTGGTCCAGGCCTGTGTCTGAGTTGGAAGCAAGCTCCTGTCCCAAAATAATCTGCCCAGAAGGGCTGGCTGAGCTGTAGAGTGCTTGCCTGACAGGCACAAGATCTGAGTTCCAACCTCAGTATCAATCAGTCAAAAAATGGAAGAAAGGAGAGGGCACAAGCTAGAGTGGATTGGACCTGAAAGGGGTGGTACCCAAAGTCTGTCAGTTTGTAAAACAGACAGAGCACATTCTTAGCTAAGAGAAAGCCATACTCTGTATTTTAAGCAAGATGTTAATTCTCCAACGATCAATTCAAGTACTAATGTCTGAATGGGATGCTAGAAGAAATGCCAAAGCTGGGCTCCATGACTCATGCCTGCAATCCTCACTACTCAGAAGGCTGAGATCTGAGGATCCTGGTGAAGCCAGCCTGGGCAGGAAAGTCCCTGAGACTATTATCTCCAATTAACCATACAAAAAGCCAGAAGTGGAGCAGTGGCTCAAGTGGTAGAGCACTACCCTTGAGCAAAAAAGCTCAGGGACAGCACCAGGCCCTGAGCTTAAGCCCCACAACCAATAAAAAAAAAAAAAAAGTAAGAATGGGTGCTGGTGACTCATACCAGTAATCCTAGCTATTCAGGAGCTGAGATCTGAGGATTGCAGTTCAAAGCCAGCCCTGGGCAGAAAGGTCCATGAGACTCTTATTGCCAATAAACTACTCAGAAAAAGCTGGAAGTGGCACTGTGGCTCAAGTGGTAGAGTGCTAGCCTTGACCAAAAGAAGCTCAGGGACAGTGCCCAGGCCCTGATTTCAAGTCCCTGGACTGGAAAAAAAAAAAGTGTCCATATAAAGGTTTTATGTTTCTGAAACAGGATCCCCAGATACCTCAAATGCTTTTGTCTTTTAAAAAGCTTCAATATCAACTATAGCAGTGATCGGTTTATTTTTTTTCTCTATCTTTTTGGGTTAGCTTTGAAAATATATAAATATTCCTAGAAAATCACCTCTAGATTTCTAAAGTTTCTTTCTGTTTTGTTGGTCATGGGGACTGAACTCTGAGCCTGGGCGCTGTCCCTCAGCTCTTCAGCTCACGGCAAGCGCTCCACCACTTGAGCCACAGTGCCACTTCGGGCTTTTTTTGCTTTTGGGTGCTGAGGAATTGAACCCAGGGTCTCATGCATGCAAGGCAAGCACTCTACCACTGAGCCACCTTCCCAGCCCCTCTTAGAGTTTCTTGTGATATAGTTTATGCAAGTATTTTTTTTTCAGTGCTGGTGATCAAACCCAGGGTCACAAATGTAGCAAGCAAACATTTTACTACTGAGCTACATTCCCACTCTAA